CTACCTTACACACATAACCACTTATGAATTTCTCTTTTAACTAAAAGATCAGAACAACTAGGGTTTTGAAACTCACCTTAAGCTCTGAAATTGAAGTTCTTTAAGTGTGGATAGTGATGTCCTTTGAAAATCAACTTGAAATCCTATGAAAATTTGAGAATAAAATGCTTGGATTAGTGGCTTTTATGGTGGATTTGAGAGATGAAGAAGAAGATTATATGTTTGGGGTGTACAAGGCCAACTCCTCTCCCTTTAAACCTTGTAAATATTTATTCCATTGTTGCTCTAATGTGATTGGTCAATAAAAGTTAGATATAAGAGTCATTTGACATAAATTTTTCATATAAGGGCGTTCTGGTCATTTCTACCACAACATAAAGATTAGCACTCATTTAATGCCATTTGACTTCTTTAAAACACTTAACAATTAAGAAATCCCATTAGGTAAATGACTAACTTACCCTTGGTGCACTTTTATAGATACTTATTACATATGGATTTGTATGAAAAGACCATTATACATTTGGTTACCGTTTACGTCATTTAACCATATCAATCAACTTTATGACCATTCTACCCTCATTTCTCTTCAATGACATCACCCCTTATACTTTATAATGGCCACATCTCGAAATACATGTAAATTGACCATTTTACCCATCCATTCAAAAAAAAAAAAAAAATTACTTGAAAGGTAAATTTCATACCTTAAGGCATCGGAATAATAACACGGGGTTTACACTGAACCTTTACATGCTAATATTTTGGATTCCTTTACTGGTTATGTGTTGCCTTTTAGACACAATCGTGGGAAACCACCGAACAGATACAGCCCAGATGAAGAAGAAAGGAAGTCCAAGTACCCAATTATGTATCTACTCAAGGTCTGTCCACGCCGCTCAAGACTTTCACTCAAACACTATCCGCCTGCCATATTCCCAGTAGTGTTGAAGAGGCGTTATCTAATCCAAAGTGGGCGCAAGCAATGCAAGAAGAACTAGAAGCCTTAAAGAAAAATAATACCTGGAAGTTGGTCCCATTATCGAAAGGAAAAAAAATAGTGGGATGCAAATGGGTGTTCTCTATAAAATACAAGACTGATGGATCAATTGACCGATACAAGGAGAGAGTTGTGGCAAAGGGTTTTACCCAAACATATGGCATAGACTACTCAGAAACCTTCTCACCAGTAGCTAAACTGAATACTGTTAGAGTCTTACTATCTCTTGCAACAAATTTGGACTGGCCACTACATCAACTAAACGTGAAGAATGCTTTCCTTCACGGCAACCTTGACGAGGAGGTATACATGGATATTCTGCCAGGATATACAGGATCGGCTGGGAACAAAATTGTTTGTAAATTGGAGAGGGCATTGTATGGACTAAAACAGTCACCGCGAGCATGGTTGGCCGACTTAGTTCAGCTATGAGGAAGTATGGCTATCGCCAAAGTAACTCTGACCATACTCTCTTCCTGAAACATCGACAAAGCAAGGTGACATCATTAATAGTCTATGTGGATGATATGATAATTACGAGGGATGACGCTAATGAGATCTTGAGGGTACAAGAGCAATTATCTACTGAATTTGAAATGAAGAACTTGGGAGGGCTTAAGTATTTTCTGGGAGTAGAGGTGGCGAGGTCAAGAAAAGGCATATTCCTCTCTCAACGGAAATACGTACTAGACTTATTGAAGAAAATGGGATTGCTAGAGTGTAAACTTGTGGATACGCCGATTGTGCAGAACCATAGGCTTGGAGAATATTCGGACTAGGTGCCAGCCGATAAGGGGAGGTATCAAAGGCTAGTAGGGAAGCTCATTTACTTATCTCACACTCGTCCAGACATTGCTTACACTGTAAGTGTGGTAAGCCAATTTATGCATAATCCGAGTGAAGACCATATGGGTGCCGTAATTCAAATTTTCCGCTATCTAAAGTCATCACCAAGAAGAGGACTAATGTTCTCCAAGAATGCTCATCTGAATATTGAAGGGTACACGGATGCAGACTGGACTGGGAATATCTTGGATAGAAAGTCTACTTTAGGCTACTTTACATTTGTGGGAGGAAACTTAGTTACATGGAGGAGTAAAAATTAGAAGGTGGTAGCATTATCCAGCATTGAAGTTGAGTTCTGAGGCATGGCGAAAGGATTATGTGAGCTTCTTTGGCTTAGAGGTTTGCTAACAGAGGTTGGTTTTCCTCCTGACTCTGCAATGAATTTATTCTGTGATAACAAAGCTGCCATTGACATATCTCACAACTCAATTCAACACGACCGCACCAAGCACATGGAGATAGATCGACATTTCATCAAACAGAATCTGGAAGAGAAGATCATTCAGTTCCCTTTCGTTAAATCTGNAATATAGATGATACGGATGAGGGAGGTCCTAGTCAACCCCAAAATTAGTTGTTTTGTAAATTGTAAATTGTAATTTGTAAATTAATTGTCAATTATTGCACTCTTTCCTTACCAAGTTTTTGTCCCATTGAGTTTTTCTTGGTGAGGTTTTTAACGAGGCAATAATTATTGTAATTTCTTATTTTATTTTTTAATAAATGAATAAATTTAATTTTTCTTATATTACAATTTTAATATATTAAAATTGAATTAATATTTGGAATGTTAACAAAAAAAAAAAATTTAAGTTAACTAAAAACAATTACATTAATTCATTTATAAATTGTTAATTATTCATTTGAAAAGTTAATTAAACATTTAAACTTAAACAAAACAAAACAAAACAAAATAAAAAATTCAAAAAGGGGGTTAACTTGGCCCGACCCGCGGCCTAACCCGATGGGTTAGGGTTGGCGAGCCGGGTTGGGTTAGCCAATTTCCCATAATTGGCGGGCCTAACTCGGCCTGCCAATGTTAGCAGGCGGGTCAAGACCGACCCGCCACTTTGCGTAACCAGTCGCGGGCCGGGTCCGGTCGAGCCGGGCGGGTCGCTTTTCCACCTCTAGTAAAACCTCTCTATAGCGATACTCTATATATGAATAAACTCTACATAGTCATAAAAAATTCTAGTCTCAATTTGGGATAGCTACAAATAAGAATAAACTCTACATTGTAATAAGTTATAATTTTTTGAATTCCCGCCTTAAGGAAAGTTGCCTCTACATAGTAATAATTATCTGTATATTACAAAAAAAAATATGTTATGTAAAATTAAAGATTTAAAATGAAATAAAATATTTATTTATAATTGTTTGGGACAATGATTTATGCTTTAGAATTGTTATCACATCTTTTACCTTACTAGTACGTACTAGCTCGTTAGTATGGACACCTTCTTGTTGAAGCCAAAATATTTTCAGTTTCTCAAGCATGTTTAGAGCTTCATGGCACATGACTTTTTGTATTTCCGTACTATTATCCTTATTTATTTCATTTATCTTCTTGTCCAAATTGCAACAATGATTTCTCCTTTGGTTAAAGCATACACGATTTATTGCTCATTTGGATAATCGAAGAATACATTAATATCCATTCGATTGGTGTAATGAAGTTGTCAAATATGATCACTTAATTCTGTAGTGACTCTTTTATTCTCCTCATCCACTTCATTTGTAACTTACAATTCATTGACATTAGTGGTCCTAATTTTACAGCACTTAAACCATTGACAATTGTTTGTGGCTTCACATCAATTAACCATGCATCAACTGCATTTACAGTTCCATCAATGACACTTATTTTTCCTGGTTCTAAGAAACGATCTTTTATCATTTTCAAAAGTAGACAATTGAAGCGCTGAATTGAAATCCTAATATTACTAAAATATAAATTGAAATCTTAATACTGTACTACTAAAACATGAATTATAAAATAAGAAATTAAAACTATAATTTTTGTAATTACACCTCCATTAAGTTATAACCTCCTTATAGTAATAAAATTAGTTTGTCCCACTATTATGACTATAAAGAGGTTTGACTGTATACTCTTTATTATTTAAATATAAATTAAAAAGTGAGTTTAACTTTCTACATTTAGAGAGTCAAATTTCACTTTTTATCATAATTTTAAATAATAAATTACAAGTTTCTATACATTTTATTTATGATTTATCTTTCATATTAAGTTTATTTCTTGAAAAAATATATTCTCTCTCCTAAAATTTAAAGAGTCTACTGGATTTAAATAAAAAATTTATTCTTTATATTTAAAAATCAATGAAGATACTCTTTATTTATATGAAAAAATAAAGAACACCTAGAGATGCTCTTATAAAAATTATTGGGACAAGATTTGTTTATCAATGCTCAATGGTTAAATTAGAGTGTTTTTATTTACTCATTCGTTGAAGGAAAAACTAGAATAATTTTTAGCAATTATACAATATTTTCCGTATAATTTGATGTGACAAAGTATAATTGGTTTTTTAATTTAAAAATAAACTTTTACTCAATCATCTTTTGCCACATATAAGAAATATTGTATAAAAATATTATATGTGTAGTATTACTCAAATTTTTGTATTTTAATTATTACTTCATCAAGTATTATTTTAAACTATTTATATTGTTCTTCTTTAAAATAAATAAAATTATTTTGGAATAGACTATTTACACCCGGTCTCAACCTCTATTTTCTAAATATATCAATACAAAAATTTCAAATTTTCATAATTCTAACACTAAATCAATAGAATAATACTTGAGTGAATAGAGATTGTAATCAATAAAACCACCAAAAAAAAAAAAAAATCATATTGATTACAAAATTATTTTAAAAATCATTATTTTATGTGTAATAAACAACATTGATATGTAATACGTTCTTTGATCCACCTAATTAATTTTTTATGTCCATTATTTGGGGTATTAGATTAGAGTAGATGGATGATTATGAGTTTTAAGTAAAATTCAAGTTAAACCGCCTAACCTTTCAATTAAACTATTTTGGGCCGATCTTGATTGGGCTGATGGCCCATTTAAGCATTAGAATTAGAGGAAAGGGGACACAATCACACAACTGTGTGCATGTTGACTTGTTGAGCAAGTGCGAGACTGTGAAGACTGAAGATGTCGTTCACTTGTGGACTGATTTCGGCAGCAGCCCCGGCTAAGATCTTTTCGGGTGAAAGTACCAAATTCTCATATTCGAATAATGATAATACTTATTATAATGTGAAGAGTTTAGATATACCAGTAATGAGTTTCTCTCGAAGCATCTCTAATGCTGCATATTTAAGGAATGGGAAACGTAATTTTGGTACCCGGAGGCGTTTCTGCTGTAAATCTCAACTGGGTGTGGCTGTAGCAGAGCTCGCTCCTATCACCTCAGCCTCATATGGGGTCCTGCTTTTGGGGGGCGGTCTCTTTGCCTGTACATTATACTTTCTTTCTTTCTTTTACGTATATCCTGAATTGCTATACATTGCCTCTCTAAGTTAAGGTCAAATTATTATTATTATTATTTTTTATTTTTTTAACTTTTGCATGTAGTCGCAAAATCAGGGAGCAAGGGTTCCCTTTTTGGAGGATTAACGGGGGCTGCTCTCATGGCATCAGTAAGTTTGTTTTACCTCTTTCCCATTTTTTCTTTAAGCACAAAATGTTGTTATCTAATCCTCGTAAATGTTCTTTTATGTTAAGTTTGTTTTACCTCTTTCCCACTTTTTCTTAAGCACAAAATGTTGTTATCTAATCCTCGTAAATGTTCTTTTATGTTGGCAATTTCATTGTCATTTCTGATCTTGATTGCAAATATACAATGTTCTCTACTTTTCCGCATTTTGATGTTCTTCGTCCTCCACCTCTCATTATGTGATAAGTTCTTAGTGAATTTTAATATTTTATAATTTCTATTAATTTTTATCCATTGGCTTTGTCCCTTAATTTACCACCCTCACAATCACTAAGAGAAGGCTAATTTCTTGTTCTCTTGTTTCTAACATGGTACTAGAGTTGACTCGGTCCTCCTTAATGCCTTTTGCTCTTGTGTGAAGTTCTTATGACATCCATTTTTATTTATGCTGACTTTACAGTATTGGTCCAAAGTCATTTTTAATTGTACCTCCAATTTGTTGATGTGATGTCACTGTATTTGTGTTTTAGCTTTGTTGGATACTATCTTGAGAAAGCTTTTACTCGAATTTTTAGTTATAATTTTTTCTACCCATTGATCAAACCTATATAAATTCTGTGGAGCATGCTGCATCCATAATGGACAGAGGCAAGAGCTATGCAATTATTGGTATGTAATTTGGGTTACGACATTTCTATATCTTAGTGTCTTCGCTTAGCATTAAGCACCAAAAACACCTATTTGGACATCCTGCGTCACTGGTATAGGATTTAATACAGTATAATAGGAACCCTGAGTACTACTCTATATACTATGACATATGACCAGTGTGGAGTTTGCCCAACTGGGAGCAGAGCAAGTTCAGTGACTTGCAATAAGCAAACATTTGCTGTGACATTACGAGGCTTTCCTATAAGTTGAAAGATTTCCCTGGTTATTCTATACATAGTGTATGGCCTCTTTCAAGGTGAAGTCCTCTCATCCTTTGCATGAATCTTCTGCACACATTTGGTCTCCCTCTTATCCTCATAAATGGTAATTCTCTCCATCTTTCTTTCTCTCCACACAATGGGTCTTTGACATCCTCTTAACTCTATATATTCTTTGTACTGTCTGTTCAACTGCCATACTCTATCAGTGAATATTGCACCTTCATCTCTGCCATGTCATTTGTCTAGTCAATACAAACTTACCACCCGCATAAAGAATCCTCTAAAAGGCATTAAAGAAACAGTGTTCATTTAGTTAATGTTGACCTCAAATAAGTTATCTGAATTTGCTATATTATGATGATGTGATGGGGATGTTGATACACAAGTTGAGTAAACATAAAACTGAACAGATAATCAAAAGCAGGACAACAGATAAAGATTTTTGAAGTTTTTTTTACGGCATTTTGTGGTTCCCTAATTTTTCATGGTAGTCTATGAACCAGTTGAGTCAGCACATGGCAATTAGGATGAAGACAATAATATGATAAATAAAAAAGAAGAATTGAATTTACTGATATTGATGTACTTCGTATTTTCATTTGTTGCATTTGTATCTTTTAAGATTCTCTTGGTTCTAAATGCTGTTAGAGTATAAAATAGTGAAACTGCAAACCTAATGTCTTTTGAAAACATTGTTTATGAACAAGATTTTCCTGCAGAAATTCAAATTTTTAATGCCAAAGATTTGATTCTACCATGTAGGCTTATTTTCTTATGCAATCACCAGAGACAAAAGCAATAGGTGATGCCCTTGGGTTTGGATCTGCCTTCCTCTTTGCTTCTGTATTTGGTATGTGTTTTCCATGCTCTTGTTAATGCTTTGCTCCATGTATAAAAATTGCAAGTTTTATGGTATTTTATGGGAACTTCTTATGCTGGTTCTTATTAATGCGAGACTCGAAACTTGAAGCCACATTTTTTTCCTTATTCTGTGTGTTACTGTTCTAGGTATACGATTGGCAGCTAGTCGAAAACTAATTCCTGCCGGACTTTTGCTTGGTCTTTCCATCTGTTCATTGGCTGTGTTTATCATTGCTTATCTGCAAGATAGGATATAACCGTCTACATTTGGTGACAGTATTGCTGCAAATTTGAATTACTTTATGTTAATGTTGGTAGTTGTGACAGTGATTTATTTGTCCTTAGTATATAACCGAACTAGAAACTGACCTTCTCAACTTCATCACTTGCCTGTTGGAGTATTCTTTTCCGCAATTTTAATGTAAGTTTAATCACGGTAGGTTGGGCAATTTATCAGATGACGAGCCATCATAATGTAAAGTGTAAACTATTGTAATATACTGTAAGATTATTAAAATTTGATATTGCTCTAACCCTTGTGGTGGTGCAAACACAATGTATGATTATCCAATAAAATTTTATTATCTATGTATTTATTTCAAAATTAATCAATTATTTTAATAGTTGGAAGAAAGATAAAATTAATACAACAGTAGGGAGATGTCATTGGATGGACATACAAATGTCGTGGTATACCTGATTAATCTAAGACTTATTTTGTGAAAAAAAAAAACTAAAATTTTAGAAAATATATAAATATAAAATTTAATTTAATAATTTTTTTAAAAAAAAAAAAAAAAAGTATATACCCCTCGTAAGACTTTCAACCTGTCCTCAAAGTCAACAACCAAATCATGTGTTTTAAAGATTATTCCTCAAAAGTCAAATGAGATGATCCATATTAGTAAAAAGATAGCAAGCACTAGATTCTAAGCCATTTAAATTTGCGGGAAAACCTCTCAAACACTGTGGCCACATTTGGAGAAGATGATGGAAGGTTCCGGTGACTACTGTTGGTATTGGTTAGTGCTTTATGAATTATGAGTTGCGCGCATTTTCCATAAAGATGATGATATCCCATCTTAAGTGCTTTCAAAAGAGAACGAAAAGGAAATACTGGGACCTTCTTTTAGCCAATCAAATTGCGGATTGGCGGAGTATTATCTACTCAACAAACACGTTCCAAAATTAAAGTTTAATTTCATGAAAGCTAATTGCTTCCAAGAATAGTCAAACCAACCGCATTACAATTTACACATGCAATCATTATATATAGATTCCCCCAAAATGAATGGTGCAGGGAAGTTCTTCTTCATTTATAATTATTACCTATTTAATCGATACCTTAAACAAAGTGGGTTCCACACCGCTTAATTAAGCATGAATAAAGTTTGTTTTGAATTTGCAATTATAAGGGGGATTCGATTCCAATTCACAAATAATAACAGAAAGAAAAAAGGGTTATGGTTACACTGCTGGTGCTGACTAAAAGAAAAATATCAGAATATACGCAACTGAAGCCTCTAATCTCCACCAAGTTTTGTGCCCGACTGGTCTTGTCATGAAACATCCATATCTTATAAACTTTATCCACCAATAACATGAAAAAGAAAAGAAACATAGTTTCCAAAATGATCAATTTTTTTTTTTTTTTTTATATTACAAATATCGAGGGTATGGTAATGGTCTCCCAACGCAAACTGGATGAAGAAGCAAACTAAAGCTGGGCACAATGTTAAATTAAAACTAGGGTTCTACTTTGCATGCACGGAGAATATATACTTGTTTGATGGTGTCAGCACAGTAATCAAGAGAAAGCCACGAGGTGGTAATCAACTTGGCCGCCAAGTAATTATATAATTATATGGTTAATCAAAGTACGTGATGAAGGAATCTTCCCACCACACCATGTCGGTTTTGGTCAACCTGATTAGTTGGCAATTAACTCTACTCATCTACAAAAAGGACTAACTTTTTAATGCCACCAATTATATCTGAAACCAAATTATATTGTACGAGAGGTGTTTTACATATACATTATGAAGTACATTGTCTTCTTTGTTTTCGATAATTAAGTCTAACCTTTATAATTAACCTGTTATCTTTAGTATTAAGTTTGATGTAATATACAATTGGAACCATCTCTAATCAATTTATAAAAGAGTGTGACGGAGTCAGTGATCATCTTCTCAACCAGCAGCCAAGACCTAGCTATCATGCTGATAACAGTGTCAATCTTTACATTTTTGATTATTTTACAATAACATTACAACAATAAAAATGAAAGTTGAAATGAGAAGGAACAACGGATTAAATTAAAGAGTTAAATTGATGAATGAAACAGGGGAGACTAAAAGGAGCTTTTACCACGATCCATCAGAGACAATTCCTAATCATACTGATTTGGAGAATGAAGGAATTGGAAATTCAGTTCCGTGAGGTAAATTAAACTAATACTAAGATAAAAAAAAAAAAAAATAAATAAAAAATAAGAATTCTTTATAAATGATAATCTTATATTGATTTCTAATAATTATATTCAGTCTATTATAGTGTTAAAATAAATTTCATCTATCTGAATCTGACATTCAAATTTTTATCACTTTTGTTATTTAAAAAAGATGATTGAGTAATTAACTACATGAAGTAACTTAACTTCCAATATTATAAACAAAAATACTTGTTGGATCAATTGATCTCGATACAATAAGGATATATTTTACTTTTCATAGGGTGATCTATATTTAAAAAGACATGTTTGCCCTTGGTAAATTTAAAAGTAAAAAAAGTGATTTAATGGTGAGAGATAATGAAATTTTAAATTTCATTTAATTCTCTTTCTCATCATTAAGTCTGGAAATCAAATTCTAATGAGATATTTTCAAAATTAAATCTATTATTTTTAAAATTATTATTTATATTTATATTTAATTCAATGTAACTTAATTAATTCATTATTGTTTCATTCAAGATCTTAAATATAGTAAAACTTCTCAATAATGATACTTTATATAAGAATAAACTCTACATAGTCATAAAAAATTTTATTCTCAACTTGGAATAGTTATAAATAAGAATAAACTCTATATTGTAATAAGTTATAATTTTTCTAATTCCTATTTTAAGGAAAGTTGCCTCCACATAATAATAATTATGTATATATTACAAAAATATATATTATTTGGTACATTAAATGTTTAAGATGAAATAAAATATTTATTTAAAGTTGTTTGAAAGAATGATTTATGCTTTATAGTTTTTACCACATCTTTTAACTTGTGAGTACATTACTCGCTAGTTTCTCAGATATGTTTGGAGTTTCTTGGCACGAAACTTTATGTATTTCCGTATTATCATCCTCATGATTATTTCATCCTCTTCTTGTGTAATTGTAGCAATGATTTCTTTTTCAGTTAAAACAAACATGATTTGTTGCTCATTTGAATGATTGAAAAAGATATTGGCTCCGTTTGGTTGCCAATTGGGAATACTACTTTTAGTATTCCCAAAAAAGTTAAACAGTAAAATACCCAAAAACTTTGGGCTGTGTTTGTTTCAGTTTTGGGAATACTACTTTTAGTATTCCCAAAAAAGTTAAACAGTAAAATACCCAAAAACTTTGATTTTTGGGAATACTACTCCCAATATTATTCAACTTTTTTTAAACTCCTTAAATTTGATAATTTAATTAAATACCCCTAAATATTTTTTTAAAAATTACAAAAACACCCCAGTAATTCATATTTACCAGATTCCGGCCACCACTGCCGGAAAATGGCCGGAATCTGTTAGGATGGCGCACTACCGGCTGAATCTGGCCGGTAGTGCGCCGATCTAGCCTTTTCCGGTCAGATCCACGGTGGATCTAGCCGGAAAAGGCCAGATCTTTGGTCGTAACAGTTTATAACGACGACCAACAAACGGTCGTCGTTGACCATCAACGACGACCGTTCAACGACGACCGTTTGTTGGCCGTCGTTGACGAGAAAATACGGCCAGATCTGGCCATTGACGGCCAGATCTGGCCGTAGATCTGGCCGTTGTCGGCCAGATCCACCATGGATCTGGCCGGCAAAAGCCATATCGGCGCACGACCGGCAAGATCCAGCCGGTCATGCGCCAATACAGTGAACCCGACCACCCTCCGGCGGTGGTGGTCGGCTGTCCGTATTTGACATTGGGTTGGGGGTATTTTTGTTAACTTTTAAGATTTTATTATAGGGGGTGTTTTGTAAATAAATAAATATAGGGAGTATTTTAATAATTTATAAATCCTACATCGTAATACCCGCCCAATTCAACTTTTTTTTAACTTTTTTCAGAAAACTTTTCCCAAAAACACCCAATTGTGAACCAAACGAAGCCATTAATATCCATTCGATTAGTGTAGTGAAGTTGTCAAATCTGATTACTCAATTCTATAATGACTATTTGATTCTTCTCATTCACTTTATTTATAACTTGCAATTCATCGACATCAGGGGTTTTAATTTTATAATTCTCAAAACAATTGGCAATTGTTTGTGGCTTCACATCAATTTAACCATGCAGCAACTGTATTTACAATTCATTAATGACATTTATCTTTGCTGGTTCTAAGACATTTTCTTCTATTCGTTTAAAAAGTAAGCAATTGAAGCGTTGAATTGAAATCTTAATACTATTAAAACATGAATTGAAATCCTAATACTGTACTACTAAAACATGAATTATAAAATAAGAAATTTTTATAATTACACCTCTATTAAATTGTAATTTTCTTATAGTAATAAAATTAATTAATCTCACCATTATAACTATAGAGAGGTTTTACTGCAGTTCGAAAGCCAGTGAGATATTTTCAAAATCAATTCTATTATTTTTTAAATTATTATTATTTTTTATATTTAATTCAATGTAACTTAAATAATTCATTATTGTTTCATTCAATGTCTTAAATAGTTTGAAAGCCAATAAGATATTTTCAAAATCTTAAATAGTTCGAAAGCCAATAAGATATTTTAAAAATCAATTTTATTATTTTTAAAATTATTATTTATATTTATATTTAATTCGATGTAACTAAATTAACTCATTATTGTTTCTTTCAAGATCTTAAATAGTTTGAAAGCTTTTAGTTTTTAAAGTTTGTGAAAAGAAATTAAACTTTATTTCTCAATTATCATTTATCATATTTCTCTCATTATAATTCAATTCATCCACCATTCCACCCTTTGAAAATCATACTTGCCCTAACTAATACAAAATGATTTGTTTTGAATTGATTTGTTTTCCTTAATGCAAGATGATTTAGAAATATATGTGGTAATAATGAAATGATATTATAGTTGAGTTACTTAACGGCCCACTAACACATGTTAGAGAATAATTTTAATTTCTTGCGAAATCAAGTATATATATATATATAGTATTATTTTTTTAGATTAGACAATTTTTAATTGATACAATCCTAATCATACCATGACAAGACCCTTATAATCAAAGTTTTGCCTTTGCCTAAGTCAATTGTCATTTGTCAATTATTGGTTCTTGCCCTTCTATATTTTATTTGATCCGTGTCTAACTTTGAAACTTGTCCACTTATCAATCAAATTTTGCATGTGAATATTGAAGAGTATATATGACATAATTTCACTGATTTTTTAGTACTATTCAACTTGGCTAGGACTGTTTGGATTGAGAGAGATAAGAGATTTGATAAAACTTGTAATTTATTCATGAGTAAACGACATATTCCCACGCAAGGTTTGACGAAATCCCAAGTTGGTATCATATATTCCATTTATTCTAGATTCCCACTCTTAAAATAACACTGTTAACATTTTTTGGGATAGTGAAGGTGCAATTATCATAATGCCCTTTAACCCTAAATTACTAAATTATTTTTAACCCCTAAATTACTAAAATTATAAAATTAACCATCTTATTTTGAAATTACATCAATTATACCCTCAGTGACTATGCACCGTTTCGGTTTTCACCGGATCTGGGCTATTTCCGATGCCGGCGAAACCCCTGGTCACCTCCATCACCTTCCCCATTATCCATCGTCCAAAACCCCTCTGGTTCCCGACTCATTGGGCCCTCCGATCACCGGTGCCGTCAAGCTTAGGTTTTCGTCGTTCTTCGTCGGATTCCGACGACGAAAATCTAATTTGACGTCACCACTGCAACCAGCGTCTCTTAATCTACAAAACCCCTATGTCCCAGCAACCGTTTAGTGGCCATTCGTCGGTGGACACTGACGAAAACTAGTCGCATGTGACGGCTGTCGTGGCTGGAGATCGGCGGGCGATGAGGGGTTGTCAAGGGTATGGTTTTGTAGAGGGGAGGATGAGGGTTCGACTGATGGTGACAAGGGTGATTTTGGGTGGAAGAATTGCCGGAAAAGAGCGAAAAACGACGGTGGTGATGTTGCTAACGTGCACCAGATTTTTGTTAGGGGCAACGATCTGCTAATGTCCGCCTCCTCTGTGAAATGACCAATTTACCCCTGAACCGTTATATCTAACCATTTCTCGTTACTTTAAGGGTGAGAATCTGGAATAAATGAAACTTGTAGTATCAACTTAAGATTTCGTCAAACCTTGGGTGGGAACATGCGTTTGCTCTTTATTCATTTACTAAGATCTTATACTATAATTCAATTTTCCTTGGTGGCCAGCTAGAGAAATTGGAACTTCTTGTTCTTCCATAAGCTAAAAGCAATCAAATTTCTTTAGAACGTGACACGTAAACAAATGTTATCTCTAGAGAAATTTCTTTAGCTTCCATCCTTGTCAGGTATTTTTTTTTTTAATTCTTAGGCATTTTTTTTTAATTCTTACTTTCTAATAAATTAATTCTTATTTTTCAACTTTTCAATANGGTACCCAGAACCGCTCACCCCTACGTGGTAATAATGAAATTATATTATAGTTGAGTTACTTAACGGCCCACTAACATATGTTAGAGAATAATTTTAATTTCTTAAGGAATCAAGTATGTATATATGGTATTATTTTTTTAGATTAGACAATTTTTAATCGATACAATCCTAATCATACCATGACAGGACCCTTATAATCAAAGTTTTGTCTTTGCCTAAGTCAATTGTCATTTGTCAATTATTGCTTCTTGCCCTTCTATATTTTATTTAATCCGTGTCTCTAACTTTGAAACTTGTCCACTTATCAATCAAATTTTGCATGTGAATATTGAAGAGTATATATGACATAATTTCACTGATTTTTTAGTACTATTCAACTTGGCTAGGAGAGAGATAAGACATTTGATAAAACTTGTAATTTATTCATTTACTAAGATCTTATACTATAATTCAATTTTCCTTGATGGCCAGCTAGAGAAATTGGAACTTCTTGTTCTTCCATAAGCTAAAAGCAATCAAATTTCTTTAGAACGTGACATGTAAACAAATGTTATCTCTAGAGAAATTTCTTTAGCTTCCATCCTTGTTAGGCATTTTTTTTTTTTAATTCTTACTTTCTAATAAATTAATTCTTATTTTTCAACTTTTCAATAAATTAATTATTATAATAAGATAATTTATTCTTTCCAACTTTCATTCTAGAAAATATTGAACTAATAATTACTACTTTCTCATCCTTCCATATAATATTAATAGCGTGAATTTTTTTTCCTCCAAAAGGTTGGATTTATGACACCAAAAATAATTTTATTTTATTGAAGGATAAACTTGTAAATTTACCTTCCTAAATTTTTTTTTTTTTTGACCCGGATCAATTGATTCAAATAAAATTGTCCTATTATAAATTACAAAAATATTAGAGCTTAAAAATTGAAGTAACCTGCTTTGTGAAAATTATATTAGAAAATATTAAGTTCAAAAAATATAAACCTACAGGTTGACTGCAGCCTTCGACAACATTAGAAAAATGCGGAGAGATAAGAGATTCTTCAAATGGGAGTAATTATGCAATCAAGAAAAAGCTATGGCCGGTTGATTTAGAATAAAGGAGAAGAAAAATGGAGCAGGTAAACCGTAAACCTACGACGTGGGGCGAATGGTGAGGTGCTTTGGGTGAAAAAAATAAGGCCGAACGACTTATGCATACCCAAGATTTGTTGAAACGATAAGTTGATACCTAAAAGGTTTTGAAACGACAAATAGGTACCTTCCGTCATGTTCTGTTAGTGATTTTGATTAGATAATAGTGAAAAGACTAAAATACCCTTGAAAGTTTAATTTTTAGTTTTTTATAAATTTAAAAATTTCTAAAAAACCCCCTAAATTTGCTAATTTGACTAAACACCCTAATATATAAATTTTTTATAAAATAACAAAAACATCCCCGCTACCCCTGCAGTGCCAGATTCCGGCCACCACCGCCGGAATCTGGCCGGAAAATTACGTTACGACACAGACCCATCAGATCTGTGTCGTAACGCGTAGATCTTTCATTTTCCAGCAAGATCCGTGGCTGATCTGGCCGGAAAAGACCAGATCTACGGCCAGATCTGGCCGTCGAGACCGGAAACTTGCCGGAAAATTGTGTTACGACACAGACCCATCGGATCTGTGTCGTAACACGTCGATCTGGCGTTTTCCGGCCAGATCCGTGGATGATCTGGCCGGAAAAGGCCAGATCTGGCCGTCGAGGCCGAAAAAGGCCAGACATAGATCTGGCCTTTTCCGGCCAGATCGGTGTGTTACGACACAGATCCGATGGATCTGTGTCGTAACACAATTTTCCGGCCAGATTCTGGCGGTGGTGGTCGGAATCTGGTACTGTGGTGCGGNAAGAAAAAGCTATGGCCGGTTGATTTAGAATAAAAGAAGAAGAAAAATGGAGCAGGTAACCAACCGTAAGCGTACGACGTGGGGCCAATGGTGAGGTGCTTTGGCTGAAAAAAATCATGTCTAATTAAAAAAGTTACTTAAAAGTGTCCCACACAAGGGGATGTGTGTTCGTTGAACAAAATTCGACCGGATGCATTCGTAAAGTACAATTAATTAAGGAGGATTCCTTGTTTAATGTACATTATTGGGCGGGTAGTGGAGTTATTTAATCAAAAGAAAAGGATGGTTTGACAGAGCATGTCATATCTTTTGAAATGGCAGATCCACAGATGCCTAATTAAGTGATATCACCTCAGGCCTTATATTCAAATCACACGGCACCTATGGTCTGTGAACTAACTATTCTACATTGTTGCTACTGTAGCATTTGGTGTTACGATAAATAATAAATAGCTGTTCAGATGATGGGACGGGCATTGACTTCCATCATATGTTATAATAATCAATAATGTTAGATGATAATCATACACAAGTTCACGCGCTTTATGTATATAAAACGACAATCCAGATTATCAAACACTGGTTGCGTCTATCTGCCTTCCCTACCATCACCAATATATCCGTGACAGGTAGTGAGCATTATATCCCTGCTTTCTGTTCTCTTCTTTCAACGTCCATCTCTTCTTACTTTGATAGTCATATCTTCCACAATCTGTAAACATCTTCCATTCCTGTTACTTTTTGAAGCTGGATCCTTCCATTTTATCCGTTTGTTGATCACAACTTTACAAAAACGTTTCCAGCATTTAAGTTTCTCTAATGCTACAATTTCTCAAAATCTCATTTTTCTTTAAGCAAAGAATTGCAGTTTGTTTGTTTGCCTATGCGAACAGGTGAAGTACGTTATTTGCCCATAGTCGTAGTTCTGTATAACCTGGTACCCTTCATTTATCCTCTTCCTTAACAACACATTTATAAAAGCCTGTAAATCATGTAAGTTTAGTCTCTTTTCGAACTCCAAATCCAAAAAACCCCAAAAAAAAAAAACCGTATTCTTATTCTTATAGGATTATTATGCATATCCTAATTTTTGCATAAAGCTTTAGATATATGATATATCCTTACCGTTACCAGTCCCAGCAAGGATCCAGACCATCGTGTAACAGCATTATTATAAAAGCCGTCAAATCATGTAAATTTTTTTTTCTTTCCTAGCCAATGCATAATATTAAAAAAAAAAAAGAAAAAAAAATTTGTTCTTGAATCTTGATATAAGAAAGACCTAGAAAAAAAAAAAGAAAAGCAAATGGCAGAATCAGAAACAGGAACTCCTGCAGCGTCAGCACCGGCAACTCCGGGAACTCCAGGTGGACCACTGATGTCATCTTTGCGAGTGGACTCGCTGTCCTATGATCGCAAGCCAATGCCACGAAATAAGTGCTTGCCGGTCACCGTCCCGGCGTGGGGTCAACCTCACACGTGCTTTACGGACTTTCCCGCTCCCGATGTTTCTCTCACCCGCAATGTACCTCACTCTATTAATTGCCACCCTAATTTTGACAACTTGTACAATTTATTTATTTTTCAACGCTAATACGAACAATAAGTGAAATTATTTATTATAGAGTAAAAATAGATCCACAAATACTTTTTACTGGGTTCTCACGCAACCGCGATTTAATAGTCTGTAATTAATTAACTTGCATTTAAATTAGCCCCATTATTAGGTAATTGAGTTTCATTATTAATTGATTAATTACACACTTATGCATTGTATTTGTGAGAATCAATTAGTGAAAATTATTTGATTATTCTTTATTGTATATTAATGTTTTTGTCTATTTCTAAGTATTATACTCTTCTTTTATATGTTTGTTTTCTTACATACAGATACCTTTAGACTTTAGAGTGTCTTTAAGAACAATATTTGTATAATTTTAGAGTAATATTACACTTATAAAGGTCTTCATATACAAAAAAAACAAATAGAAAAATAAATATAATGAGTTTGATTTTTTGTTTTATTCTTCTATTCATTTTTGTCACCTCACTTTGTATAAAAATCTTTATAAAATTATTTTGTATAAAAATCTTTATAAAATTTATTTATAAATGTAGTATTATTGATAATTTTAACTCACTTAAATTTTTGTAATATTTTAGTTAATGTTATATATACAAATTTAGAATTTTGTTTCCGAATCGATGTAGGTGTTTGTATGTGTGTTAAACTCATTTAGCGAGTGAGAGAAAGTCTCTTCATTTCAAAATGTCTCAACTTCCTAACTAATTTACATTATTGACCCTCTTCATTAGTCTTTACTCTTTTAAAACGTTTTCATTTTCAATTGATTCATTCACTAAATTTATAATTCAAAAAATTCAATCACAATCCAAAGCTCAATCGATTGCTAATGTTAACATGGTGTAACCTCTTCGGGAAAAGAAATATAATTATATATAATAATTTAATATCAATAATTATTACATTAAAAACAACAACTCTTTAGTCCTATTAGCACGTGCCCTTTATAAAGACTTTAAATTTGATGAATTAAACATAATGAAATTATCAATAATAGTTTTTTGTTTGGTGGAATTCATATTGAGTTGAGGTGTTTGTGCAGCTGGGAGCTGAGTTTGTAGGGACCTTCATCCTAATATTCGCGGCAACAGCAGCACCAATAGTTAACCAAAAGTATAACGGTGCAGAGACATTGATAGGGAATGCCGCAAGTGCAGGGCTAGCGGTGATGATAATAATCCTGTCAACAGGACACATATCAGGAGCTCATCTGAATCCCTCCCTCACTATAGCATTTGCGGCACTACGTCACTTCCCATGGGCTCAAGTCCCTGCCTACATAGCCGCACAAGTATCAGCTTCTATTTGTGCTTCCTTTGCTCTCAAGGGAGTATTTCATCCCTTCATGTCGGGTGGTGTTACCATTCCTTCAGTAACCAATGGTCAGGCTTTCGCACTTGAGTTCCTTATCACTTTCAATCTATTGTTTGTTGTCACTGCTGTCGCCACCGACACTCGGGCGGTATGTACTTTACTATCTACTATTTCAACTATTATACTCCACTCCAATATGTCTTCCACACATAATATAATATGCATCCTCTTCCTCTCATCCGCAGGTGGGAGAGTTGGCAGGTATTGCTGTTGGAGCTACCGTTATGCTCAACATTCTGGTGGCAGGGTGAGTAATTTTCACAATAATTTAGACGTTATTTGTTTTGAAACTGTGTCAGAAGTTTATAATGCCATGGTATATAGCATCATTGTACAATGTAAGGTAGGCCAGGAGACAGTTTGGTAAATAGGTAGGTGCTTAGAATCCTTAGGACGGCTTGCCACAAAACACTCGACACATGATATTTTGTATAAAAAAGAGTCATTATTTATTTCTATTAGTAAATATTAATCAACCTTAGCAGGCCATCAAGTGGTGGTTCAATGAATCCCGTGAGGACTCTGGGGCCAGCTGTTGCAGCAGGAAATTACGAGGCATTGTGGATATATTTGGTGGCGCCCACGCTTGGAGCCCTAGCTGGGGCCGGTACCTACACAGCCGTCAAGCTCCGAGAGCATGAGGTGGATCCGCCGAGCCAGGTCAGAAGCTTCCGTCGTTAGCCAATTGTGGAGGCCAGGCCTCCAATATCAATAAGCTCTGTTATGGATAACATAGAAGGCAACGTTACCAACGTAAAATTTTCTAGTGCTGGAGAAGAATAAAAGGCATGTGACCAGAAGGTCACGACCTACAGTTTAGTTGAATAATTGTTGCTCTGGGTGTGGTGCTCATTATTCAGCGCGTCATCTCTGTCAGACCAATATGTTTCTGATGAAAGGACGTTTGTATTTGGCTCCTTGCTACCTGTTTGACTTAATTTATGTGGGACGTTTCTAGTCTTCGTAACCATTACTCTTGGGCGTTTGTTTCGCGGCAGTGTCACATTATTAAGTAATATCAATATGATATTATTTGATTATCATATTTTATTATCAAATAATATAAAATTTTAGTAATTTTTAAATACTAATAATAATTATTATTGATAATATTAGAGATAATCTAGTTATTTCTATTTTCTTAGGTATTATAAGATTGTTAGAGTTATCATTTTTTGTTACAATTTTGTTCCTTATTAATAAAAATTTTAGACAATAATGCTCTTATTTTAAAATAAATTTACATTAATATCCTATTTCAATTTTATCCTTATTTAACTAAAATTTTGGAAAATAATGTCCTTATATTTAAAACAATTTATAAACCACTACTGCCACTCAGCCACCACCACCACTGCCACCCAGTCACCACCGCCGACAGCGGCCAACCACCACGGATCGCCGTCGAAAACTCGTCGAAGTCCCTAAAAAAGAACGAGTTTTGGTGGGAGGCTCCGGGAGGCTTCGATATGGCCGTTTCTGGCTGTATCAGGCCAGATCCCTAGCCATTATCGGCCAGATTTGGGTGAGATCTGGCTGTTAACGGCCATGAACTTGACCGTTAACGGCCAAATCTTGGCCAGATCGCCTGATATGACCTTTTTCGGCCATCAATATGGTCGTCATTCTGGCAATTTTTGGCCAGATCTGGGCGAGATCTGGCCTTTTTCGGTCATCAATATGGCCGAAAACAGTCATATCGAAGCCTCTTGGTCACGGTGAGTTGCTGATGGGGACTTTCGGAGACTTGCGGCGGTGGTTTGCGGTGGCGGCAGGAGGTGGGGGTGATTTCGTAATAAATTAAAGTTTTATATAAGCAGGAGTGTTTTAACTAAATCTGAAATATTGGGGGTTAAAAAAAATTATTTAAAAATTAATATTAAAAATAATATTATATTAATATTTGTAAAGGGGACAATTTAGTAATTTAAATAACATACCCACCAATTTATTCCCCATAACCAAACATATTAATATAACATACCCATCAACTAACCAAACACATTTTCTTAAAGATTTCTAATAATCTTCTAAGGTAATCTATCTTTTCAGTAATCAAACTTTCCCAATAATCTAACATTCCTGAACCAAATGCCCCCTTACCTTTATCCGAGGTTGGTCTTTTATAAAAATAATATGACTTTTAGTAACGATTTAGTTTCTAAATTAATATTGCTATGGGATAATTTCTTCGTAAACCTACTGTGGCAAGCTCTCATAAAACCTATTTAATAAAAAAATATAATTATAAATATGAATAGATTTTAGGAGTCTTATTAGGAATTAAAATATGAAATCTCGTTAGAAATAAAATATCTCATATATTACCTATAAATATAGAGATGAATATCAATTTAAGGCTATGAGAGAATATGAAAATATAAGGTATTTGCTGTAAGAGTTATTAAACACCATGGGAAGAGTGTATAAAAAACTGAGATTTTTTCTACTCTTAAGTACTAGGTTGAGAGTGGTCAGAAACTAAGATGTATTCTCTCTATTTTATATACCGGGTTTATGGTGTTATATACTCTTATATATCATGTTCATGAAATTATAATAGATTTCTCTCATCTGTGGATATAAGCAGATTATGCCGAACCACATAAATATCATGTCTCTTTGTGTGATATGATTTTATTCCTATATTATTTATCTCAAATGTATGTTTTTCGCTATACGATCTTCTAGAAAGAGTTGGTTTGACAAATTGGAAGTCTATGAGTATAACGAAAGACGAAGCTGTTGTTCCAAGCATGACACAAAAACACTCACAAATCTTGAACATCTCATCGAGAATGGGGAAAACCATTCATTTTATTCTTGAAATTAATTCCTTATTTAAATCTATTTTAGTACATCGATGTCCAGTGAGGTTGAAATTGGGTGGCTTAGGAGTCTGAACCCTGACGTGCTGTGGAAGATTTTAGAAAATTTAAAATGAGTTTGATCATAGCCAGTTCTGTGCGGTCAATCCGGAGAGGTTAATTCCATATGAGGTGAGAATATATTTAGCTTGACTCAATTTGGAAGGAAGATATTTAGATTGACTTAGACTCCAACTAAGTTAGCCAAAGATCATGCAACTTCCTAATACTACGTATTTGAATCTTACCTTAACTAGATCTATCATGTAAATGGGTGCTATATAAACCCATGACAACTTGTTTTTGGGGGTTAGGTAGTGGTTCTAAGAAATTTTTCCTGGGAATTATACCGTTCTTTGTAAGCTCTCAAAAGCAATAAGATAACAGTAGACATAGACTCAAGTTCTAACTTGCCGAACCCCTTTAAAATTGTCTTGTGTTCTTATTTATGACTCTTTCTTTTTTATTCATTGCTGATTTTCATTAAATCACGCGCACATCCATTTCGGTTCTTGCAGGGTCAATCAGAATTCTCTGGTTGGTGCAAATTTATGTATCAACATTTTGCCGCTAGAAGGAGGGGCTTGATTCACACCAGCTCTCCATAAATAATTCTGAATCTGGCTAAGTGGTAAACACAAGAATTGTAGCCCTTCGAGTTAGCTTTCCGACAGTCTAAGAATCATCCAAATCTGAGGTCTATAGCTCAAGTTATCATCAAAATACTAAAGCCGATTCCAAATCATAGCTCTCTGAACGGGTGGCCAGATTGCTCAGATTGCGTGCTTAGATCACTCTGATCTTTAACTTCAGATCGCTTCGCTAAATCGCTCAAATCGCACGCTAAGATCTCTCAAATTAGAAAGAGCTCGCTCCCAAGCCATTGAACTCTCAAGCTAGCTCTCACAAGCTCCCAAGCTATCGAGCTCTCAAGCTAGCACTCTAGCTCTCAAGCTCCCAAGCTATCGAGCTCTCAAGCTAGCTCTTTAGCTCTCAAGCTCTCAAGCTCACCATGCTTTCTGATCGAGCAATGCTCTCAGATCAAGTTCTCCATGCTTTCTGATTGAGCAATGCTCTAAGATCAAGTTCTCCAAGCTTCCTAATCTAGCTATGCTCTCAGATCAAGCTCTCCAAGCTTCCTAATCTAGCTATGCTCTCAGATCAAGCTCTCTAAGCTTTCTGATCGAGCAATGCTCTCAGATCAAGCTTTCCATGCTTTTTGATCGAGATATGCTCTCAGATCAAGCTCTCCATGCGTTTTGATCGAGCTACGCTCTCAGATCAAGCTACGCTCTCAGATCAAGCTCTCCAAGCTTTCTGATCGAGCAATGCCCTTAGATCAAGCTCTCCATGCTTTTTGATCGAGCTATGCTCTTAGATTAAGCTCTCCATGCTTTCTGATAGAGCTATGCTCTTAGATCAAACTCTCTAAGCTTTCTGATTGAGCAATGCTCTCAGATCGAGCTCTCCAAGCTTTCTGATCAAGCAATGCTCTCAGATCTAGCTTTTCATGCTTTCTGATCGAGCTATGCTCTCAGATCATGCTCTCAGATCAAGCTCTCCATGCTTTCTGATCAAGCTATGCTCTCAGATCAAGCTCTCCATACTTTTTGATCGAGCTATGCTCTCAAATCAAGCTCTCCATGTTTTGTGATCGAGCAATTCTCTCAAATCAAGCTCTTCATCCTTTCTGATTAAGCAATGCTCTCAGATCAAGCTCTCCATGCTTTCTAATGGAGCTATGCTCTCAGATCAAGCTCTCCGTGCTTTTTGATCGAGCAATGCTCTCAAATCAAGCTCTCCATGCTTTCTGATCGAGCAATGCTCTCAGATCAAGCTCTCCATGCTTTCTGATTGAGTTATGCTCTCAGATCAAGCTCTCCATGCTTTCTGATCGAGCTATGCTCTCAGATCAAGCTCTCCATGCTTTCTGATCAAGCTATGCTCTCAGATCAAGTTTTTCATGTTTTCTGATCATATCAACCTTCAAGCTTTCTGATCGAGCAATGCTCTCAGATCAACTTTCATGCTTTCTGATGAGTATGCTCTAATCAAGCTCTCTATGCTTTTGATCGAGCTTGATCTAGCTTTTAGATCAACCTCTCCATGCTTTCTGATCAAGCTATGCTCTCAGATCAAGCTGTCCATGCTTTCTGATCAAGTAGCTCTCAGATCAAGCCTCTATACTTTCTGATCGAGTAATGTTTTCAGATCAAGCTCTCCATACTTTCTGATTGAGCTATGCTCTCAGATCAGCTCTCCATACTTTCTAATCGGCTGTGCTCTCAGATCATTTGTCCATGCTTTCTGATCGAGCTATGCCCATATCAAGCCCTCATGCTTTATAATCGAGCTGTGCTCTTAGATCAAGTTGTCCATGCTTTCTGATCAGCTATGCTCTCAGATCAAGCTCTCCATGCTTTTTGATCGAGCTATGCTCTCAGATCAAGCTCTCCATGCTTTCTGATCAGCTATGCTCTCAGATCAAGCTCTTCACGCTTTCTAATCGAACTCCTCGCACTCTCAGATCGACTCTTTATGCTCTCTATCGAGCTCTTTATGTTCTTAGATCGAGCTCTTTATGCTCCCTGATTAAGCTCATAAGCTCGCTCATTCGCTTGAGATCACGTTTCAAGATCTCTCAGATCCTAGATCGCGCCAGGCATAACTCAAGTTCTTCTTCAGACTACACACCTATAGTCGACAACCATCCAATCAACATGAGTTTTTGAAGCGCGATTACGCACCATACCAAACTGGGGGGTTATTGTTGTGCGGTCAATCTGAAGAGGATATTCCCTATGAGGTGAGAAAGTTTAGATTGGCTCAATTTGAAAGGAAGATCCTCAGTTGACTTAGACTCCAACTAAGGAAGCCGAAGATCATGCAACTTCTGAATACTACTGTATTTGAATCTTACCTCACCCTATCATATAAATAAGTGCTATATAAACCCATGATAGCTTGTTTTTGTGGGCTGAGCAATTGTTCTAAGAATTTTCCTAGAATTATACTGTTCTTTGTAAGCCTCAAAAACATAAGATAACAGTGGACGTAGGCTCAAGTTCTAATTTGCCGAACCACTTTAAAAATTGTCTTGTGTTCT